GGGCGTCTGATACAGGCCATGGTCTTCGCAATCACTTGTTATGCATCAGAGAGTTGGGCAATGACCAAGGAGGATAGAAGGAGAATTGATGCCTTTGAGCCGTGGTGCTGGAGAAGAGTATTGAGAATACCATGGACTGCTAGAAAAACAAACAGATTTGTCCTGGAAAGGGTTAAACCGGGTGGCTCCTTGGAGGCAAGGATTCTGAGGCTCCATCTAACATACTTTGGACATGTTGTGAGGAGAGACCGGTCCTTGGAGAGGGACATCATGCTTGCAAGGGTGGAGGGATGGCGCAGAAGAGGAAGGCCCTCTATGAGGTGGATTTATTCAGTGACTGGGACAATTGGGATGGGAGTGTCGGAGACAGTGTGATTGGCACAGGACAGAGCGGAGTTTAGGGCTGTTGTACATAGGGTCACTATGAGTCGCAAGCGACTTGACGGCACATAACAACAACAACAACAGGATGAATCTGTTTGTTTTCTCGGCAGTCCATGGTACATTCAATACTCTTCTCTAGCACCACAGCTCAAAGGCATCAATTCTCCTTCTATCCTCCCTAGTCATTGTCCAGCTCTTGATACATAACAAGTGATTGCAAAGACCATAGCCTGTATCAGACGCACCTTAGTCTCCAGTGTGACACCACTGCTCTTAAGTACTTTAGCAAAGTCCCTAACAGCAGACTTTCCCATCGCAATACGGTTTTTGATTTCCTGGCTACTGGTACCAAGAGTGTTGACTGTGGAGCCAAGCTGACTAAAATTGTTAACAATTTCAGTCTCTTCACGATCCATCCTGTTGCTGCCAATTGGTCCAGTGGTGAGAATCTTTATCTTCTTGACATTGAGCCTCAATTCATACTGAAGGCTGCAGTCCTTGACCCTCTGCAGCAAGTGCATGAGGTCCTCCTCAGTTTCGGCAAGCAGGGTTGTGTCATCTGTATAACACAGATTGTTAATAGATCTTACATCAATCTTGATGCCACACTTCTCCTCATAGAGTCCAGCCTCTTGGATAATCTGCTCTGCATACAGGTTGAAAAGGTATGGAGATAGGACACAACCCTGGCATACACCTCTCCCAATTTTGAACCACGCAGTGTTTCCTTGCCCTGTTCTGATATAACCCATAGCATCCTTAATTCTTGAAATATAACAGAAAAACTGTTGTGGGAGCTTTCATTTGTTTACACTGAAAACACTGGAAAGGTGAAAGAGAACCTGAGTATGTTTTTTCTCTAAGTGATCATAGTCTTTCTATTTGAGATCTGAGCAAGAGTTGTGAACAGAGAAGATGAAGGGGCTGCCCCATAAATCCTGTAGCTATTTTGCCCCATAAATCCTGTATCGTTCTCTCTCACAATAAAAGCTGGCAAAATCCTAAAGAAAGGAAGGCTGTCTTTTAGCCTATTTTATAGAGAACAAGGATGCTGTCATGTGTGGGAGGATGTTGGGGATACATATCTTGATGAGGCTCTCAAACGAGCCTTTGATTATGATTACATATCCTTCCTGGGCCATCAATGTCCCTAGTCTAGAGTACTGCAATAGAGTACTATTTGGTCTCCCTACTTCAACCCATATCCCCACCCCCACTAGTTCTCAGCTGAGCAGCTGGAGAAACCATTTAAAAAATAAGTTACACTATGCCATTCTTCTACTCCACATCCTCCAATAATATCATTTGACTCTTTCATAGCCAACAAGTCCATCAAGCTCTTCTTATTATCTCTGAGCTTTATCTATTCGTCCTTACTTTTTCCTCAGTTCTAGCCACCCTGATCTCAGAGTTTCTCCAACACACAAGGCAAACTCCCAGTCTCAGAGCTTTTGACTTGCTGTTCCTCTTTCCTGAAATGTTCCTCCCTAACACTACAAATCCCTACCTTGCTGTCTAGTTTGTTTTTCCATAGTACTTATCATATTTGAACACCTTGTTGATAATTCATTTATTAGAATGTTGTTGTGTTAATGTGCTGTTGAGTCTCCTGTGATTCATAGCGACCCTATGTACCCAGCCCTCAATCCTGCTCTATCTCTTGTCAATCTTATTGTCTCTGACATTCCTATCTCCAATACCCAAGTCACTGAATCAATACATCTCATCTAGGGTCTTCCTCTCCTGCGCTGTCCTTCCGCCCTCCCAAGCATGATGTCCCTCTCCAAGGACTGATCCTGCCTTGCAACATGATCAAAGTATATCAGACGGAGATTCAGAATCCTTGCCTCTAAAGACAAACTTGTTTGTTCTCCTAGCAGTCCATGGTATATTCAATACTCTTCTCCAGAACCACAGCTCAAAGGCATCAACTCTCCTTCTATCTTCCCTGGTCACTGTCCAGCTCTCTGAAGCATAGAAAGTAATGGCAAAACCACGGCCTGTATCAGGTGCACCTTAGTCTCCAGACTGACATCATTGCTCCTCGGTACCTTGGAGAAGTCTCTGACAGCAGACTTTCCCAATGCAATTAGTCTTTTCATTTCCTGGCTGCTGGTATCAAGAGTGTTGATTATAGAGTCAAGCAAAATGAAGTTGTCAGCAATCTCAATCTCTTCACCATCTATCATGATGCTGCCAACTGGCCCAGTGATGACAATCTTTGTTTTCTTGACGATGAGCTTCAATCCATATTGAAGGCTAAAATCCTTGACTTTCTGCAGCAAGAGCTTCAGGTCCTCCTCAGCTTCAGCAAGCAGGGTTGTGTCATCTGTGTAATGCAGATTGTTGATGAGTCTACTTTCAATCCTGATGCCACACTTCTCCTTGTAGAGCCCAGCCTCCTGGATAGTCTGTTCCACATATAGATTGAAAAGATATGGAGGTAGGACACATCTTGACGCGCACCCTTCCTAATTTTGAACCATGCAGTATTTCCTTGCTCTGTTCTGACAACTGCTTCCTGGTCTAAGCACAGGTTTCGCATAAGCACAATCAAGTGTTCTGGGATTCCCATTCGTCTTAGAGTCAGCCATAGTTTGTTGTGATCCACACAGTCGAACGCCTTTGCATCATCAATGAAACACAATTTTATTCAGAGATGTATCTCAAGGGCCTAAAGCAGTAGCTCAGAGTAGGTATTCAATAAATCTATTCAATAAATAAAGGCCCCCCTCTTGCTTAGTTCTATCTGTTCCTGTTTGAGCTCCATTTAAAAGGGATTAGTATCCAATGAGAGGACAGCTAGTTTTAAACACAGGGTTTAGAGTCGGGCAGAGCTTGCCAAAAACCTTAGCTCTATCATTCACTAGCATGGAGACCCTGAGCAGCCACACCACCTTTCCATTCCCCATTTTTCTCAGTAACAAAATGGGACTCTTAGTAGTGCCTACATGTAAGGCAATTGTGAAAGTCTAAGAGGTAATGTACACCAAGTGTTTGAGGCAGTGCTTGACATTTAGTATACTCAATAAATATTACATATCATAATGCAAGTCTGATCAGTTAGTTCTTCACGTAAAGTCAATAGTTCTTAAGATTAAAATGTTAATATAAAAATCAGAATGACTTCATAAACTCCATTTTGCTGACCCCTTAATCTTCCTTCTTTACCCATATTATATCACATTTTGGTCCCAGTGCCCCAGTCACTCTAATCTTTCCCAGGTCTTCAATCAAAGCTCATCTCTGATTCACAATGTTTGTGTATACTATCTCTTCTGCCTCGAATGCTCTAATCCAAAGGTTGGCAGATTTCTTCTAGAACAACACAAAGAGTTTGGGCTTTGTGATCCACACGGCTTCTTTCAAAACTATTGTACTCTGCCCTGCAGCACGAAAATAGATGATACATAAGCACATGGGTATTGTCATGATCCAGTAAAATTCTTTTTAAAAGCTGTTGGCAAACTTGATCTGGCCCATGGCTGTGGTGTCATGAATCCTATCAGGTCTCCTGTTATGTATGGGTTGAACTGTGTGCATCAAAACTATGTGTTAACAACTTTAACCCCTATACTTGTAATTCTATTTGAGAATAGGGTTGTGTTTTTTTTTTGTGATGTTAATGAGACCATAGCAGTGTAGGGTATGTTTTAAACCAATCACTTTTAAAATATATAAAACATTGATTAACAGAAGCAAGGAGCCCCCTTAGGGGAAGGCAGATACCATGCTTCATGAAGATTACCAAAGAACTGAGGTACAGAAGCTAAAATGAAACAAGAATCTTTCCCTAGTGTTAACAGAAAGTCTTCTCTCGGATCCAATTCCCTGAATCTGGACTTCAATCTTCTAAAATGTGACCAAGAAGATCTGGTGCATATGGTTAGGTCCTTAGTTGCTACCTGAAAAGTCAGTGGTTCAAATCCTCTCGGCAGCTCCATGAGAGAAAAGATCTGGTAATCTGCTTGCTGTTGTTAACGTTACAGCCCTAAGCAATCTTTTCTGGCAGTTCTGCTTTGTTCTACAGATTCGTTATGAGTCAAAATTGGCTCAAAGACACAAAATAAGAGTAACATCAAACTAAATAAACTATGTAAGTAATAACTAAGTAATTAAATTTCTGTTTAGTAAAGTCATCCAATGTGGAATACAGCAACATTAAGAAAGCAAAACACTACTCATCCATTTATGTTCAATATAAATGTCACATTCGCAAACACATTTTCTGTAATACCTCTGCTAGGCAAAGTTCTAGACTCATATCTATTCTTATATAACCCTTTGAAGCTCTTATCAGAGTCTTTCATTACCTCATTGTCTAATTTTTCATTTGTCTGTTCCCCTTCCAGACTATAGGCTTGAATGGACAGGAAACTTGTCTGTTTTACCTCTGATGTATCTTCAATGTTGGAAAAGTAAAACAGGTAATATGTCAAATAAAAACACAGACTCTTTTGTGAGAATGTATCTTACTAAAATAGACATTCACTTACATTCAGTATGCTTTGTGCTGGGAGGGATGTAAAGCCACTAACGTCATATTCTTAGGACTTGAGGTCAAGGATTTTTTTTGGAGCTGCTAATTAAAAGTCAGAGTTGTGAGAAAACAGTACCTGATGGACGTAGTATTCAAGATCAAAGAGTGCTGCAATTTTCTCTTCCAGACTAGAGCTGGAGCTATTGAATTTGTTGATCAGTCGTATCATAATCTGCATGTCAGTCTCAATAACAACATTCAGCTCAGCAAAGTCCTTCTTTAGCTCCTCAATGGGGCGGAAGAGCTGCTTTACCTCAGCCTGCCTTGCCTATGAGGAGGAACAAAGAGATGATTAACCAAATTCATTGGAGACATTTCCCCAAGACCTCTATGATTTACCATAATAGCCCATTCACAAAGAACTGCTGCACCAGGGCTCACAATCTTCTTTAACTTGTACTTCTAAGATGCTTAGACAAGAGCCCTCAAAGCCTACTCATACAGCCCTCTGCTCCAAAAACACTCAAGATTTTTCAAGGTGCAATTGTTCTAGTTCAACTTCCAATGTTAAGGAATCACAAAAATCTCTTGCAATCACTGAGGTCCTTTCTCTCCCTTCCCTTCACTCCCTTCCTTCCCCTCCTCCTCCTCCTCCTCCTGCTCCTCTTCCTCTTTCCTCTCTCTCTCTCTCAACCAAAGCACCAAAAGGAATTCTATTTAATGTAATTAAGTCATAAAGAGACATTTTCCACACTATCCGTTCAGAAATAAATAAGGTACTTGTTACAGCCTTCATTTTTCTCAATATGAAACTAATTAGTGAGCTGACTCTTATTTGTTTAAAATAAAATTTTATCTTAATTGTGATTTTCTGAAGCACATCATGCTGAGTGAAATATCTCAGTTTAAAAAAAGGGCAAATACTACATACCACCACTGTTATAAAGCACACCTGCCATGGGGGTTTGGGATAGTGGACAGATAACGACCATTGCATTGGAAGAGATGAGAGAAAGAAGTGTCTACAAGAAATATATGATTAGGCATTATATATGATATATAGATATAGATGTAGATGTAGATGTAGATATAGATGATATAGATATAGATATAGATGATATAGATGATATAGATGATATAGATGATATAGATGATATAGATGATATAGATATAGATATAGATATAGATATAGATATATAGATATAGATCAGCCCAGAATAAGAGTTATAACATCACCTTCAATTTCTTACCTCCCACGAGGCACTTGTGGTTGAATAATCCAGCTATTGAATAACCTAGACCTTGGTTGTCTAAATTCTGTGCTGTTGTTTTCATTGTTGTTAGGTGCCATTAAGTCACATATAACTTATAGTGACCCTATAAACAACAGATGTGAACCCTGTTCTATTCCGAGATATTGCTACTATTTCAACACCCTTGAGCTCATTGTCACAGTCACTGTATCAATCTATCTTGTGGAGAGTCTTCCTCTCCTTTGCTAACCCTCCACCTTTCCGACCATGATGCCCCTCTCTCAGGAATAGTCTTCCCTAAAACCATGCCCAAAATATGTGACACAAAGTTTCATCATCCTTGTCTCCAAAGGAACACTCTGGGTGTACTTTCTCCAAGAAAGACATTTCAATTTGTTCCTTTGAAGTTCACAAGATATTCAACGCTCTTTCCCCAAACCGTAACTCATAGGCATTGATTCTTCTTCTGTCATCCTTATTCATTGTCCAGTTCTCAAATGTATATAGCTGGTGACTGGAAAAATCATGGCTTGAATCAGGCACACCTTAGTTTTTAAACTGACATCATTGGTTTTCAGGTTTTTGGAGTGGTCCCTAACAGCAGATTTTCCAAATGTTATACATCTCCTGATCTTCCGTCTGCTGGTATCCAAGGGTGTTGATAATGAATCCAAGAAGATGGAACCAATAACAATTTCATCTATCATGATGATGCCTACTGGGCCAGTGGAGAGGATTTTTGTTTCCTTTTTTATATTAGTTTGCTTACAAAGTTTGTATACATTGTGCTTCATACTATTTTTCATTCACATTGTTTCATACAATCGTTCTCATGCATTACATTTTATAAAATTAATCACCACTGGACCTTACCCATCATTACCCTGACTTTTCACCCAGATCCTTCCCATTTGCTTCCACCCATGGAAGTGCAACCCTGTGGTTTCACTTCTACCTATCCTCAATGTTGAGATGTAATCCAAATTGAAAGCTGTAGTCCTTGATCTCCTGCAGCAAGCAACTCGAGTTCTCCTTGCTTTCAGCAAACAAGGCTGTATAATCAACATAACACAGGTTGTTGATGAGTCTTCCTCTAATCTTGATGCTACATTCTTCTTTATAGAGTTCAACTTCTCTAATGGTTTTCTCAGCAAAGAGACTGAATGGTATGGAGAAAAGATATATCCCCGACACACATCTTTGCTGATTTTAAACCATGCAGTATTCACTTGCTCTATTTGCACAACCTTCTTGGTTATAGATTTCATATAGGCATAATTAAGTATTCTGGGTTCCTATTCTTCTCAATATTAGTCATAGGTAACTTCTACACTCACAGAACATCTCAGCCTTGCCCTGGCATCCCTACCATATTTTAGGGAAACCTGGACATAGGAAACTGTGTTTAAAGAGCTGTCAAAGCAAAAGCAATTTGCTGATGAAAATTAAATCACTGTCATTACTGTCAATCTAATCACAGGTGTACAATTTTTCCACAGTTTGAAATGGCAAAATTACTGTATGTGCTATACTCAAATCTCTAACAATTTTCTCTCAATCCCTCCCCACTTCACATATATACACAAATTTTTTTAAATGAAGTTATGTTGAAGGTGAATAAAGGGTTTTAATTGGATATTTTGTACTTGTGACACACTCTGTTTTCTTGCCAGTTTTAGAGCACGGTGCTTACAAAGAGAGTTTGAAAGGTTACACTGGTTTCTGTCTCTACCTTCCAAGAAAAATTTAAAAGTGCCAATGTTTATAAAAAGCAAGATGATGAGCAGCTGTCAGCTCCAAATTGCTCATCTATTACCTATGGATTTCTCTGCTTAGGTTCAACCACTCCAAAGAATTACTAACCAAAGAAATGAATCAGCCTATCTTTAAAAAGATAAGCTCCCAGCAGAGCAATTACATCTATGGGGTGCCAAAGCCTGCTTCTTTGAGCTAAAATAATGGAGAAATGTTCTTCATGCACCCGTTTAGAGGAACCTGGATGGCTGCAGAAGGCCAGGCAAAGAGGTCTGGGAAGACTGAGTCACTGTCTAGGCTTGTGAAATGACATAGAAATGAGAAGGCCAGAAATTTGCCAGCTCTTCATTTCAAACATGGCACATGCTTAGCCCTTAGAAAGATATTCCCCCTCCCCACTATACAAATAAGTTACAAAAATAGGTCAGTTAGAGTACTATGCATCATTAATTCATATTTTCTTAAGGAAAATATACTACATAATGATAGTATAATGGAAAAAGTTTTTAAATAGGCATAGGTACAACAGTATTAGTGGACTTCTGGTTTTGCTTATATTTGACCAGTTTTTACATGTGCGTCCATGTGTATATGCTTTAATAATGAGAAAATATGTAGCAAAGGACCTCTTTAAAGTGTTCAAGAGCAAGGATGATGTTTTCAAGATTAAGGTGTATTTGATCTAAGTAATATTTTCAATTACTTCATATGCATGTGAAAGTTGGGAAATGAATAAGAAAAAGGTCAAATAATTTTTGCCTGTGAAATGTATTGGTGAAGAATATTGAGTATAACATGGCCTTCCAAAGGAAGAAATAAATCTGTCTTGGAAGAAATGTAGCCAGAATGCTCCTTAGAAGCAAGGCTGGTGAAACTTGAGAGAAAGACATCATGCTTGGAAAAGCAAGAGTTGTTGCTATTGTTAAGTTCCATCATCAAATCAACTACCACTCATGGTGACTTTATAAACAACAGACCTGAATCTTGCCTTATCTTGTGTCATCTTCTGAATCTCTGATACATTCAAGTTCACTGTTAGAATCACTGTGTTAGTTTAT